AGAGATCAAATTGCCAACATTGGCTGGATTATGGAGAAAGCAAGAGAGTACCAGAAAAATATCTACTTCTGCTTCATTGACTATGCTAAAGCTTTTGACTGTGTGGATCACAACAAACTATGGCAGGTCCTTAAAGAGATGGGAGTACCAGACCACCTCACATGTCTCTTGAGAAACCTGTATAAGGGCCAAGAAGCGACAGTTAGAACCGGATATGGAACAACTGATTGGTTTAGCATAGGAAAAGGAGTACGACAAGGATGTATATTGTCGCCTTGCTTATTTAATATATATGCAGAGTACATCATGCGAAATGCTGGCCTGGATGAATCACAAGCGGGAATTAAGATTGCTGGGGAAAAGATCAACAACCTCAGATATGCAGACGATACCACTCTAATGGCAGAAAGTGAAGAGGACCTAAAGAGCCTCTTGCTCAGAGTAAAAGAGGAGAGCGCAAAAGTGGGCTTGAAGCTCAGCATCAAAAAAACTAAGATCATGGCATCCGACCCCATCACTCCTTGGCAAATAGAAGGGGAAGTCGGGGAAATCGTGACAGACTTCACGTTCCTGGGATCCCAGATCACCGCAGACTGTGACAGCAGCCATGAAATTAAAAGACTCCTGCTCCTTGGGAGGAAAGCGATGGCGAACCTAAACAGCAGGTGTGTGGGGGGTGGAAAGCTGAAGAGTGAGGGGGAAATAAAGGTAGGTTGATGATTGGCTGGGAAGGAGCTAGGGTTGCCAACTCCAGGTAGGAAATTCCTGGGGATGTTAGGGATGGAGCCTGGAGAGGGTGAGGTTTCAGGAGGCGAGGGACTTCGGACAGGTACAAAGCCATAGACTCCACCCTCCAAACCAACTATTCCCTTCTGGGGAACCATTGTTGCCAATCTCCAGGTGAGGGCTGGAGATCACTCAAAATTACAACTGTTCTTTAGGTAACAGAGATCAGTTCCTCTGGAGAAAATGGTGGACTCAGTGTCATTATACCCTGCTGAGGTTGCCACAGCAAATTGACACTGAGTGTCCAAGCCTGGGGCAACCGCCCAGAGCCTCTTTCTAGAGGCCGTTGTATTTATTTCCACAACGGGCCTTTTTCCTAGTTAAAAAAATAAAAGGCATGCTATGCATGTACCAACGTTCTGTGCGGCTTTTAGCAAATCCAGGACAAATCTCAAACCTCTGGGGCTGTGCTCCAATTAGTAAATGGTTCTTTCTTTCCCTGTTGGATCTTTTCCTCTGTTCTTAGTTTCTATCCTTCTATTCTTATCTTATCCAGTCTGCCCTCCTGCCCACCTCTTTCCCACTATCTATTTCTGGCAGAACTCTCGCGTCAGAAATGTGAGTCATGCAAATTCGGTGTGCTCTTTTCCAGCTTTTCAATTTGCATTACCTCAACCATTCCCCTCACCCCTTGCGTTGGTATCGGCATCTGTTTTGAGGACGGTCATCTTCCTTATTCATGTCGCACTACTTGGCAGGGGGGAGAAATCCCTTCTGCATCTTGTGAAGTCGCCATGCTGGACAGAAGAACCCTCTGCTGGCTCACAGAGGTCCGCTCCGTCCTTTTCCCACACCCTGTTTATAAACATCCAGGAGGCAACTGGGTAGGTGTCTCGATACTGCCTGGATACCCACAAACAGGGCACAGAGCCAATTGACTTCTCTCACTATCGCCCTCCACATAAATGTCCTCAGGTAGCAATTGCTATAGAAGGCCTTTCTCTGGCTCAGCCTCTGGAAAGGCATTTTGCAGCTGCCTTATAAGTGACCTCGTAGGATTTTCAAGAGACATTCAGAGGTGGTTTGCCATGGCCTGCCTCTGTGTCACAACCCTGGTATTCATTGGTGGCCTCCCTTCCAAGTTCTAGCCAGGGTCGACTATGCTTCCGAGATCTGATGAGATTGGGCTAGCCTGGGCTGTCAGGTCAGTGGCCACCACCGCATTTATTTAGGAGATGTACATGCCTCCTCTCTAGAGACCCACTAGAAACAGCTCGCAGCTAAGACAATGCAACAAAACCAAATGAGACATTTGTTTTAAAAGCCAGGACAGAAAAAATAGCATAAAACCAGCAGCCTAAAATTATATTCAGAGAACCATCTTTAGGCTAGAAGCAGATCTCTAAAGATGATGGAACCCTTCTGTTAAAATTTGGGCTTAAAAAGAACCATTATTCTGTCCCGGTGCCTAAAGGACAGTCTGGTAGGCTGCCAGGTGAGCCTTCACAGGGGGGGCGTTCCAGAGATAGAGGTGCCACCACTGAAAAAGGCCTGTCTGTGGTCTTCATCACCTGTGGCACAGCCACAGAGGGCAGGGCTTGAAAAGAGGATCTAAACTGGCAGGCTAGATGTCTTGTAGAGTGCAGAGACTGCGTAAATTCCAACATTCAATTGGAATGAAATTGAACATGGAGCCTTGCCACATCATGAAGATGGACAGATGTATTGTTGCATCAGCTTTTGTGCGCTAAAGCCCACACCAACAGACTAACGCACCTATTTCTCTGGAATTTAAATGCCATAAGCTCTCTCCTCACCCTTGTGCTTTTACATAGAGCTTTGCAATCCGACATAGCAATTTCCTGTTTTCACAACCCCTGGCCGCCTGTCCTGTGTTATGCCCCACCCCCAAAGTGCTTTATAGCTCCCTCCTCCAATACATGGATAACAATATCTGCCATACTGCATAAGCATAAAGTAGTACAGATAATTTCTCAAGGCCTTGTCTAACTATGATTCAAAACTAAACACGCATAATAACAATTACATAAATATTACCTAACACTCCCCCCCCCACATTTAACCTCACTTAAAACTCAACAACCAATACAACTAATGGAGCATTAGCATAATGGGCTCTCTGTGTAAGCCAGCAAGCATATATATCACTACACATGCTGCAATCGGTCAAACTCACAAAGTCATCAAGGGCAGCCCAGTGTCCAGCACACTGCAGCAGTCTAGCCTACAAATTATAAAGGCATGAATGGCACGTTGTCATGATCTGGTTGTGGCTTCTGAAGTACACATCTGACTACAGCTTCATACTGCAATATGAGATGCAGCTGTGGATCCAGGAATATCCCAAAGCCAAAAACTAGAAGTCCAGGCTAGAAATGACTCAAGAAAACCATGATTAAGATCTTTGGCAACCCTGTATTTTTTTCATTGAAGATTAGGAAGAATGTCTGTGTGGTTTCCCTTTCTTTCTGTGCAGTTTCCCTGATCTAAACGCCCCTTTTGAAGCTGCTATTAGCTCCATGGCAGGAGGGTTTGGTGGACAGCTATGGCATCAGAGATCAGGGGGAAGCAGAAACTATCTATTACCCCCCTCAACCACATCACAAGACCTGCTGGCCATCCTTACCCCATCTGCTCATGTGAGGATAACATGGAGGAGAGTAAAACAATGTGGCCCACTTGGGTCGCTGCCTGGGAGAAAAGTGGTTATCCAAATATCTAAATAAGAGCCTCCCACCATGGCCCTCCAACTGGCTTCAATGGCTACAAATTCTCCCCTCCCCAAACTGACACCAAGGTACAAACTGAAACTGAAAGGAATTTTTTCCCCAACAGAGGTCAATTTTTTTAACCTGGGAATCTGGGGTGTGTGTGTGTGTGTTATATATTTTAAAGGAGAAGTCATGGCACTGTTGAGGACTCTTAGGGCACCATAATCTTCACTTCAGTTCCACATCATCTCTCCCTTCTGTTCTGGTTTAATCTCAAGGCGTCTGTCATTCGAGAGTGGTGCTAACGGCTGCTCTTGCGCGCTAACAACAGTCCTCTGAACACCTCACAACTTTTTAGACTCAGGCATCTCCATTCAGCTCATATCTGACGAAAGGAGTGTTAGTTGTCAAAACTCGTACTCTGAAAATCTTGTTGATCTCGGAGTTGCTACTGGACTTGAAATCTAACTTTTTGGATGTATTTTGTCCCAGCCCTCCCCCAAGGAGCCCGTTTATTGTAACTTCACAGCTACCTTCTGAGGAGAATGAAGCTGAGGGCCGGTTTGGTGTAGTGGTTAGGAGCGTGGACTCTAATCTGGAGAACTGGGTTTGATTCCCCACTCCTCCCTATGCAGCTGCTGGTGTGACCTTGGGTCAGTCACAAATTCTCTCAGAGCTGTTCTCTCAAGAGCAGTTCTCTCAGAGCTCTCTCAGCCCCACCTGCCTCACAGGGTGTCTGTTGTGGGGAGGGGAAGGGAAAGGAGACTGTAAGCCGCTCTGAGATTCTAAGTGAAGAGTGGGGTATAAATCCTATCTTTTCTTCTTCTTCTGAATGGGGCCCTGACTGACTCCATGAGATTTGTGGGCTGACCCTGTTTTTCCCCCACAATGCTCTGGCGGGACAGCCACTACACTGTATCAGCTGTTGAGCCAGTATGGCTCCTACTCCTTTCTGTCCTCCATGACTCAAGCAGACCTCACAGCAAATGGGCTGTGTGAATGATCACCTTTAGGAATGCCATGAAACACCCCCAGTTTGCATTTAGGCCATGCAAGGTTCATTGTGGTCCATGAAGGAGGTGCCACACAGTTCCTTTGCCACAAGCACTGGGAACGCCAGTCGACACAGCTTCCTCAGATATTTTTGCCACAAAAGACAAACACTAACCCCCCCTCCCCCGCTGCCCTGGAAGTATCATTGTCACATCTGACTGCACAGTATACCAATTTTGCTTTGTCTTATTTTAACCCAACGTGCTAAAAGACTGTTCATCCTCCCATCTGAATTAGTCTGAAAGTTAGTCTTGGTGGTGTTACCTTGGAAGTAGACTCCGGAGCAGATCTTCACCACTCGGGGCAGGGAATGGAAATCCAGATTGCAAATATACTGCTGTAAGGACATGGACTCCATCATTCTGGCTTCCACAGGCGAAACTGATACAGAGTGAGCTGTCAGCAGCTGCAATGCTAGGCAGTTATACTGGTGGTATGGAAGTTCAACTGTGGCTTTCGCTTCCTCTTTTCAAGAGCTGGCTACGAGGTAACTTCTCCCAATACTAGTTTTTAATTCTTGGTATTTTATGAGATGTGGGAGGAATGTGATACAGGATAATAGCTTTTATTGCATGCAAGAAATCGCCAGCAAATGCAGTCTTTTTCTTCATTACCCTCACAGTTATGGGCTATGCCAACGTGTCCAATAAATACGCAGGGCCGCATGTGAGTTCGGCCCAGTTCCTGTGTGGTTTGGAAGTGTCAGGATCAGATACGGTTGAATCATCACAACAAGACAGCCACCCTTCCGAGAAAAGCTGAACACTGCTTCCCTGTATCTGAAATACTCAGGGAATCGGGTAGCACCTCAAAGATTTTTTAAAAATTTGATTTGGGCATGAGCTTTTCTGAGTCAGAGCTTACTTCCTGAGGTCCATGGAAGTATACATCCATTAACCCTCGTGGTCTTACAAACCCATGGGGGTCTTACAAAATCAAGATATAATCAGAGGAGAAATCTGTTCACCCAGACTAAGCGTGAGACACTGCTAAGCAACAACAGCTGAGCAGAAGAGATATCTAGTGCAGAATGAATTGTTTAATGTAGAACAAATTAACAACTGTAAAGGATAGAATCTGTGAGCTATTAGCACCGACAGTGAGTAAGGAATCCAAGGTCCCTTGTAAGTCCTGTGGCGGAGCTACACTGCCTTGCATTTATGAATGAGTTCTGATTCAGCAGTCTCAAGTTGGGTCCTATTTGCAAAGTTATTTTGAAGGAGAACAGTAACTTTTAAATCAGCCAGTATGTCCCTGTGTCTACTATCACAAGGGGTTCTTTAGTAGAAAATCCTTCAATCCATGTGTGTGTGTGTGTAAAAAGTACTGTCAAGTCACTTCTGACTTATAGCAACCCTGCGAATTAATGACCTCCAAAACGTCCTGCCATTGACAGCCTTGCTCTGGTCTTGCAAACCGAGGGCCCTGGCTGCCTTCATTGAGTCGATCCATTTCATGTTGGGTCCTCCTCTTTTCCTGCCACCTTCAGCTTTTTCAGTGACTCTTGTCTTTTCATAATGTGACCAAAGTACGATAACCTCAGTTTGGTCTTTTTAGCTTCTAGGGAGAGTTCAGGCTTGATATTATCTAGAAACTACTTATCTGTCTTCTTGATGGTCCGTGGTATCCTTAAAACTCTCCTCCAACACCACATTTCAAAGGAATCAACTTTCTTCCTGTCAGCTTTCTTAATTGTCTGGCTTTTGAACCCAAACACAGTAGTGGGGAACACTATGGCATGAACAGGTATAGGTTACTCTTGGAAACCACTAATCGTGCCTCTAGCTAGTACATTCCACTGTCATAGAGCTAAAATGCGGGTTCAAGAACAGGCTGCGTTATTTGTGTGCTTTTATTATTGCCACTGCGGTGGCTCAAGTGGTTAAGACGCCAAACTGCAGGCTGTGAAAGGTCAGTAGTTCAGCAGTTTGAGACCCGGGTGCCGCAAGACGGAGTGAGCTCCCGTCTCTAGTTCCAGCTCCTGCCAACCTAGCAGTTCGAAAGCAAGAAATTGCCAGTAGATAAATAGATACCGCTTCGGTGGGAAGGTAACAGCGTTCCGTGCGCCTTGGCGTTTAGTCATGCTGGCCACTTGACCACGGAAACGTCTTTGGACAGCGCTGGCTCTTCGGCTTTGAAACGGAGATGAGCACCGCAACCCTAGAGTCGGATTCAACTGGCTTTCGAGCAAGGGAACCTTTACCTTTACTATTATTGCTATAGCACATTTTAATGGCAAAGGATCCTATTAGGTAAAGTTTGCAAATGCACACAAGCAAAAACAAAACCCAAAACTTACAAAAATGTTAATATGCGCTGGTCCAGTGTAACAAATATCAAACCCTGAAGGAAAAATGCAAACTACAAAGACTCTCCCCACCCCAAGCTAAATGCACGCAGCCTTCTTGGTGAAGCAGTTAGAATGTCAGGTCTGTGGCCTCAGAGACCAAGGTCTGAGTCCCCCACTCTGCCGCGGCAGCTCACTGGGTGACCTTGGGCAAGTCACTTTCTCAGCCTAATGTACCTCCACAGGGTTGCTGTCAAAGGCAGATTGGGCGGGGGAAAACAGCCCTGGAAAAGGACCCCACCCAGGGCCGCAGGTAGGGTGGGGCTTCCCGGGGCCCACCCCCGACGTCCTCCCAAGGCCCTGTAACTATTGGGAAGAAGCGGGGGAGGCCTTTTAAATGCTTTCAGGGATAATTGGGGGGGGGAGGAAGAGACCGCACACGCGCCTGCACTCCAAGCTGTGAATTTGCAGCTCAGAGTGTAGGTGCACGGCCTCCACTTCTCCCCCAAAGCATTTAAAGGGACTCTTTAAATGCTTTGAGGGAGAAGTGGCGGGGGGGGGGGGGGGGGCGCAAAATTTCAGGTGCCCCTAAGTGGCGGCGGGGTGTGTATGTGTGTGTGTGTGAGGCCACAAATTTCAGTGTCCCTTGACTTTTTTAAAAGGCCCCCCTATTTAAAAAATCCTGGCTACGGGGCTGGCCCCACCACTGATTACCACTGTCCTAACCTCCGAAAGGCTGGAAGGAGACAGAAAGTACCTGCTTGCCTGCCCAGCCAGGCCAACTGTACCAAGGCTCAGCCAGGCTGGGTGCCGTCATACCCTGCCGCGTGCAACCCAGATGTGCTAGGCCCCACCCTTCTTACTGCTGGGCTGGGCTGGGCTGGCCCAGATTGGGGAGGAGAAAAACAAACTGGGATCACAGTGTAAAACCTAATGACAAACAATTGCTGTGATTCGTGGCTACTGTATTACATAGTTCATAAAAATACAAATGGTCCTTACATATCACACAGATGACAGAAGAATCTCTCAACTAATAATGTGATCCTGTATCACAAAAATTAGAAAAGTCGTATCCTTGTGATACTGTAGAACAGATCCAGGTAGTCAGCCATGTTGATCTGAAGCAGTAGAACAAATTTAGAGTCCAGTGGGGGCACCTTTAAGACCAACAAAGGTCTATTCAAGGTATGAGCTTTCGTGTGCACACACACTTTTTCAAATACATTGGAGTGGTGTGTTCAAACTTATACGTAAGCCAGTTTCGTAGTTGATCTCCCTCAGAATTTATTCGTAGTAGATCTTCCTTCTCTCCCTCTTATTCACAACTCAAGTTTTACACAAGAAGCAAGCCAGTCCATTAACGTTCCCTTAATCAGCCACCCCGGTGGCTGTTTCAGAACAGAAGCCATCCTTCACAAACTAGTCATTTAGGCATATTGGCAGCCACACCCTCAAAATTTCACCCTCCTCAGTCAACCCACTCGCTGACTTTCAGATCTCCTTTTTCAAATGTTGACTTTTTTAGCACTGCAGATTTCAAGAGTTTGTGTGTTGTAACCATAGATGGTCGTGGCTAGACCTTTGTAAACAGAATACCAAAGTTATATATATTTTTTTTAAAAGGCATTTGTAGGCTGCTAGATTAAATTGGGAGGGCGTGTAATAGAATTTACTACTATAGTGTGGGTCATATCAAATTTAGCCGTTAGTAGGAGCCAGCACCTGTTGTCAAAGGACTACTCTGGTTTGATTCGAAGTCTCAGTTGGTCTGAGGTTTACAGCTGGTTCGTAGCCGGTGAAGATCAGCAGACAGGATGATGACTGGGCAAAAGATTCCAGTGCTCCTGGGGAGGGCAAAGTACAGCGGTGGGACCAGGCATGGAGTTAAAGGAAGGGGATGAAGAAGTAGACTAGCTCGGCCCCCTTCCAGCCTGCGTCCCATCCCAAAAGTTGTAGGCAGTGGGGCTAGGATGATTAACCCCCCCCTCCGACATTGGAGTTGTATAATGCCAGGTCTATAAATAATAAGACCATGGTCCTCTGGGACTTTCTGTAGGAGCAGAACATAGACCTGGCATGCGTGACCAAGACCTGGGTGCAAGAGGGGGAGACAGTAGCTCTCTCCCATTTAGCCCCTCCCAGGTTCCATTGGAGTTGTATAATGCCAGGTCTATAATAATAAGACAATGGTCCTCTGGGACTTTCTGCAGGAGCAGAACATAGACCTGTCATGCATGACCAAGACCTGGGTGCGCCACAGGCAGGGCCAGGGCCAGGTTTTTTTGCACGCTAGGCGAGGCTGCCTTGTGGTGCCCCCTCCCCCGGTACACCCACCAATTTTCAGACATAAATGCATTTTAGGAAGAATGAAAAACACAAAATGAATGCAAGTAGGACTCTCTTGAAGAGCACTCTGACCCAAGTCTATCACTGTAACTACTAAGTCACAACAGACCCCTGAAAAGCTAGAAATGATAAGGTACAGAAATCAGTTAATTTTTGCACTTTTTCCAACTCTATTTTTACTATAGTAGGATGGTAATAATTTGTATTTAGTAGCCCTTAACCAGGCTTTTCTGCTTTGCATACAGGAGACTAGCACAGGCAGAGCCAGTTTGGTGTAGTGGTTAAGTGCGCAGACTCTAATCTGGGAGAACTGGGTTTGATTCCCCACTCCTCCACTTGCACCTGGCTGGATGACCTTGGGCAAGCCGTAGTTCTGATAAGAGCTGTTCTTGAAAAAGAGCAGTTTCTGTCAGAGCTCTCTCAGCCCCACTTACATCACAGGGTGTCTGTTGTGGGGAGGGGAAGGGAAAGGAGTTTGTAAAACCACTCTGAGACACCTTTGGGTAGTGAAGGGTGGGGTATAAATCCAATCGCTTCTACTTCTTCAATCTTGAATGCATTTTTTATTTTGCTAAAATCCACACACCATTTTAAATTCACAAAGCAAAAGAGGGGGGGGGACCACTCAAGGTACCTTAATAGTTATCACTCATCTGTTTTAACATACTCTACTTTAGCCCTGTGATAAGCAATGCCTCACTAGATCATGTGAGGCTGTCTTG